CTTAAGATAAAAAGCTCAAATGTCAAGGTGACAGGAGCTTTAGGAATGCCCCAATTAAAAGTGTTCAAAGGAATCACACTTCACAAGTGTCCAGGGGCAACGCGTAGGGGTGCATGTGCAACTCCTGTGCAAAGCAGTGCACCCCCTGCAAAAAGATGCCGCCAACGCTGCTGGCGGCGCCTGCAGGTAGTCGCCGACCCATGGTCTGCACTCACTGCCACCCCACCTGCCGCTGACAGTGCCAGTGACGTCTGCGGGAGCTCCCCGCTCACCGCTGGTGCAGCCATGCTCCCCCCCAGCTGCCGGCGGCACGGACCGTTCATGCAAGTGTCTTAATGCACAGCCCCAAAATATTCTTCCAATATGGGAAGCAAAACCAAGCTGGTGGCATACAGGATTTCAACTGTTTGAGTGCCTTCCCTCTGAGTTCTCAGATCTCAGCAGCCAAGTTATTAATGTAAACTAAGGGGATGTCCATGCTACACAATGCAAACTAATTTGTACATTTCTACATGGCACTTCAGTGCACAGTACAAACACACCCTCAGCGTGAGACTGGCCATTGAGATCACAGAATAGCTCCAGCAATACATAGCAAATCTCCCTGTTGGTCCACTGGTATTATGCCAACAGGACTACACTTTATTACATGTTGCTAATGTCACAGTTGGAGAACAAGAGTGATGAATCCTACCTAGGAATGCCAAATTCACAGCCATGGGTTTCCGAGGACAGAGTATACAGACAGCAGTAATGACTCCCAAAGTCCCCTCTGACCCAATGAAAAGCTGCTTCAAGTCATAGCCAGTGTTATCCTTGCGCAGAGAAGCCAAGCAGTTGAGAACAGAGCCATTGGCTAGCACCTGCCAGAAAACAAACAGATGGTGCCGATTACCTAGATACACATAGGTGAGGAACTCATCAGAAGAGCAAAGACAATACAGAGCTTCTCAAAGCCCCTCATCCTCCCAATGCCACAAGTGGGGCAGCATTTTTCTTTTCCTCCACTCCACACATTCTCTCATCATTTCTTCCACCTGCTCTCTATCCATCTTCCCATCTGTGCCCTGCTCACGCCACTCTTCCATTTTGGTGCTATTGGTACCCATTCTGCACATAATGCAAGGAACAGTCACATCAATAAGGACACAATAAGCTATTTTTCCTACCTATCAATGATCAGCACTTGCAGGACACTGGAGCCAGCACAGTCATGGTGGGATAGCAGGACCCAGGCCAGAAAACAATCCTAAAGTGAGACTGCTCTAAAATGCCAGACATTTGGTAAGGGTAGGCTGCTGGGCTTGTTATATTGTGAACTGCCATTAAAAGAGAGCTAACAGTAGGACCCCAGTAACCAAAATAGTCTAGGCAGAGTTGTGCTGTGTCCATGGAAGGAGGGAATTCAACCTGGTTCAGCTAGCTAGCTCCTGAATTCCAGAGGTTCAATCAGAAGTGCTCTCTCCCTCCTTTTCAGCACAAAAAGTCCAAATAATTACACTGGGGGTTAAAGCAGTGATCAAAGTAGGAGTCTGAATCTTTTAAAATCCCCATGTCAATGAAAATCCTTGTAAAATCTTTTATTAATGTTTCCTCAAAAGAGCTCTGAAAGCAAGTTGAAAGGGTGATGTGTTGTCAGGGAACATGAAAGCCTGGTGAATAGCTCAGTTCCACATCACATGGAATATAAAAGCAGGATTGCAGCACGACACAGAATGGAAAGAAAGCATAATACAGAAAGCAGCCTCAAGAGCATCTTACCACTTCCAGTCCCAGAACTGTCCCTCGGAGAGAGCCATACCTCAGCAGTCGCAGGCCTCCTGCATTCGTTGCCACATTACCACCAATGTGGCAGCTGCCCTTGGCGCCTAGGTCCAGCGGCATGATGAAATCCAGCTCCTCCAGGTACCGGTTCAGGTTCTCTAAGATGCAGCCAGCCTGGCACACAAGGATTCCTGGGACACAAGGATCAGGCTAGCATGTGATGCAGAGAAATGTTCTTCTACAGAACGTCAACTGTAAGCAGATACAACATCCTGTTTGCAGAACTTTCCCCAGGAGGTACCACTCAGACCCAGAACTTTGCTCATGAACACAGAGTTCAATCTGCCTCCTACAGAGTGTCTAGGACTTGTGCCACTGACTTTAACTGGAGCAAGGCTGGGGTTGTGATTTGGAAAACGGTAGCATAAACTATTTCTCTACCTTGAATTCTCCCTTATCTTAACTTGTAAAAACCTGTATGTTCAAACTACAAGACTTCTTGCTCCCCAAATCCAAACATGCCTACATACTTTCCCTATTTCCCTCCACCCCCTCGGCCAGTGCAAAGCAGCCATGAACCTAGCTGATCTTTTTTTCAGAATAACTGGAATTTCTGTCCTATACACTATTATCAGACACAGAAAGTATCCCTTTTTAAAGAGAAAGTGGGATGGGGAAAAGTACTTATCTCTCTCCAGTCACCTCCCCACTCCTACCAATTACATATACTCCTGAGTTTGCTGCTGTTACTACTAGAAATAACAACATCAACAGGATTCTGAACGCAGGAAATCTCTGCTGCCCCTCATGGTGCTGCTGGTCTACAACCCTGCTGGTAACAGAATAAGCAATTCTGAGGAGGGCAGGCTGTAGATAACTAAAACGAAGCCACTGGAGAGTAGGAGTGATATATTTACCAGACACGCTGTCGAAGCTGATGACCTGGTTCATAAGAGCTGTGGAGAGGATGATTTCATCAAAGACGGGCACACTACCCCCAACAAGGCCAGTGTTGCCCCCTTGGGGGTTTACCGCCAGATTTCTCTCATTACTATACCTGAAAGGGAATGCACGTCTGAAGCTGTCACTCTGCTCTGTTTGTGTCATTGCTTTGCACATAAGTAGCTGCTATTGCATGAATTTTATGCTCATTAAAGGTACATGGCATCAGACAACAAAGCAAAGTTTGAGATAAAGGGAGCATTTCACACAGAGTGGGACTGGAATTTTGCCATAGGCCTTGAGTGCAGTAAGTGCATAGTAACATATATTTAGGACATGACTTTTATTTGCAGTTTCAGTTGTACCACACAGCATATTTCTCTTCAAAACAGCAGCCAACTCCTTCTATAAGCTTGCCATTCACATGGTTGCCTTTGTAAACTTAATTTGTTACTGAGTGGTTAGCAGATTTTTCATCACTTTGGTTTTCACTATTTTGTGGGATCCTAGTTTATTCCAACTGTGACAGTAAGACACTAGACTTGATGCTCCTCCCTCCCTTTTAGGAAAGTCAATAATTGGTTCTGTCACTTCTTCTGTAAGCTCCCTGGCAGACACAAAGGCAAATGTTTCATTATGCATTAGTCGTGTTGTTGTTATTTAGAGAGAACACATAATGCAAGGGGCATTTTACAGAGCAAGGTAAAAGAAAGGTCTTTAACCTAACAGGCTAACAATCTAATTCCAAGTGAACTTACTGCTTAAACCATACACAGGTGCACATGGTCATCTCTTTTTGCTACTTCTCTCCTTCAGAGAAAGGCTGCTGGGGCTGTCTGAAGTTTCTCCCTTCCTGAGCTAGGCACTGCTTCTAATTATGTCAATTCAATACAATAAAAAAAGGCATTAGTAATGCAATTACCATCCCCACTGTAATTTATGATTTTCTAATTGAAGCCAGAGAGGCATAGATTTGAAAAGTCAAACACAGAACACCTGGCAAGTCATAAGTAGGGCTGAGTGAAAAACAGGAATTCCATTCTGTGAAATACTTCCAGGCTCTGGCAGTTGCTTTGACTTCAAGCCAGCACCAAAGAGATCTTTCAAACTTTGCTTTGAGGGGGAGCGAGAATGTGTCAGGGAAGGCCCAACTTCAAGTCTCTGATCTGCCTTATTCCCATCCAGCTCTATTAATAGTTGCACCTAGGGAAAGCATCTGTAGTTAGGAACCCATTCTTCTCTCTAAAAATGTGGACGCTCTCTTGATCTAGCGTTCATAAATAAATGCAATTTTGCTCATTCATACACCTGATTTCTTGATTTAATTTTTCAAAGCAATGTCAAATGATAAAATAAAATAATTAACAGAGCTGAGCACAGGGAGAATACAGGAATAACAAAACCAAAGCATTTAAGGATGAAGAATCATTAAAAAGATTACCTGAGAATCTCAGATACCTCTGCAGTTGTCTGCGGCCTCAGCAACAACTTACTGGAGCCTACAACAAAAGCAAAATGCAGTAAAATCGATATGAAACACAGATATTAATTTAAAAAAAAAAATCAGAATTATTGGTGCTAGTAACAACAGAACATGCCAAGACTACATGCACCAGATCACAAGATAAGGATGCAAGGGCACTTGTTCCTTCAGCTAGCAGGACTGGAGAAGGCAAAATGTTGCTCCAGTTCATGCCATTCAGAAATGGCAATGATGGGCTGCAAAGGAATTGGACTTACACAGAGAATGTTTCACCTGCTGATCTTCAAGCACCTTCTAAAGGATAAGCACCACAATGCATATTTTACAATCAGGAAGACCAGGGGTTGTCAACCAGGGGGTATGTGTACCTCCAGGGGTACTTGAGAAGGCCCTAGGATGTACGCATAGGCAGCTGGGGACAAAGTGCTGCCATGCACCATCCTGTGCTGCCACGCAGGCACCGCACACTCAGCTGGATGCAGGAGGAGCTTGTATGCGGTGGTGGCTGCTGCCACTCCGTATTCAGCAGTGCACCACCGTCCACCCGCCGGGGGGGTGGGGTATACTGTTCCAAAAAGGTTGAAAACCCCTGAGGTAGACCATGTTGCTATGGCACATACATGAAGTGGGCAGAAATCAAAAAAGATCTGATGGTTACTATTATGGCAAATCCAGAAAATGCCTATTTCAGTGTACATACAAACATAGGATTACAAGGATATTTTTTCCTCAAAAGAACTAGCAGAATTGACCAGATATAGTAACAGGCAACTTTCACTTGTACAAGCTACTGGAGAAAGGCAGGACACTGAGCCAGACACGCCACTGGTCTGCTCCATAGCAACATATCTAATAATACTTAAACCAGCTTCACTCTGTCCAGTATTCTCTCTCTCTGCCTTGGTACTGGCAGTCATGGAAGACATAACCCAGAGAATAAGTAGGTGGACAGTAATAATGACCCTCTTGAAGACAAACTCTAGCTCACATCTTGGATTCAGCTGTGAGAAAGGCTGAAGGATTATACCCTACAGCCAAATAGTTTTAACACCTGAGAAAAAAAACCAGTTACTGAGTTTAACTGTGTGCAAAGCACATATGTCAGGGAGCCCACCTACATCTACAAGCCGTCTGTTACATTTTTTACCCCAGTTCTCAGGATAACACCCACCCCTCCGTTCTGGGAATAATTAAAGGAAGTTTTTTGACTCCTTATGTATTTGAAACCATCTCCTCTATTTTAATCCATTTAATTTTGTCTTAAACTACATAAAAACATCTTCAATGGATTAATTTGACTTTAAAATAGACATTTTTCCCCCCAAAACAAGGAAAAACCTTGGATATTTATATAAACACAGGATGTTTTTCCAATTAAATCACCAATGGAGGTAAATAGGAAATGTTTCTGATTCTTGTGAAAATATTGACAAAAACAAACAAAAAAAAAAGTGTCCCTTTCTTCTCCAAACATTTTGTCAAAAATGCCTGTTTTCAGCAATCAAATCCATTTTTTTGTTTTGTTTCTTTTGCTTGTTTGTTTCTGGGGGTTGTTTTTTGTTTGGGTTTCTTTATGAAAGCCCCAATGTAAACAAAAATTTCCCTCAGAAGTGGGGGGTTTTCACAGAAAAAGAATTATAATCATAGGAAGTTCAGGTTGGAAGGCACCTCAGGAGGTCATTGAACCCAAGCCCCTGCTCAAAGCAGAAAAAATACTTTAAATATAAGGTTTTGATTAGTTCTAAATAACCAAACTGATTCTGCAAGATTAACATACGCAAACTCCATTACAAGTTTGGCAGATTTACTGAATTTTTCATCTGCAAATTTTCATTTTTCATCCTGATATAATGGCGAATAGAGACTGAGATTTGCCAAAATCTAAAAACATCTACCTCGGACTGATTGCAGCCAGTCCACGTTAAAAGGTTTCAGTTCTTCTGGGTCTGTTATGACTCCACCTGGTATAATGCGTTCAAAGAAAGCCAAGTCACTATCAGAAACATGGGAGAAGGGCAGCCTCTGCACTCCATACCGCTCACTGGTCAGCATCACTTCCTGTGAACTGGCGAAGCTGGTATGGAGAGCTCTCCTGCCCAGGGGACCAGCCCTCCACAAGATGGATGGCCTGACTTTTGACATCCTGAGTTGCTCTGCATGTCTGTTCTGCTTGTATGTCCACTGGGCTGTAGCACTGGTCCATGCTGCCAAGGTTCTGTTCTGGCAATTCATTTGCCATCTTTGTAGGGTCAAACCGCACCAACCCACATGACACTGGACTAGAGATGACACAGCCATGGTATCCCTGAAATGCAAATAGAAGGTTAATACCTAGTCTGGATTCTTCCTGTCACTCCCTAGACCTCATCTGCATTGTTTTTTTCCCCACGAACTGACTATTGTTTATGGAGACAAACACAGGGAAAAAACAACTCTTCTAAGAAGCAAAAGGTCATTAACACTTGCAAACTGGATAGCTTCAAGGTCACTAATTGTATTATTGCACACATCTAGGGGAATCCAGATTGAAACAACAGCGTATACAGAAAGCCAATGCCTCCAGCACTACTGGAAATCACTAATGAAAACAATACATAAGATTTCATGTTTTTAATTGAGATATGGGTGCATAACAATAAACCAAACTATATTTCCTGAGTAAATACTTCCTTGGTCTTCACACTGCACACGACAGAACAGGTTTGCCCTCAACACATTCTACTCACAGCCCAAGCCTATCCTGAAGAAAGTATGCATTTATAAGCACCTTAGACCAACATGCAGGGCTGTCCCTAAGGGGGGACAAATCGGGGCGACCACCCCAGGCCTTGTGCTTTGGGGGGGCCCTGCAGGGTGGAGCAGTGGCGGTGCGGAGCTGGGCGGAGCAGTGGCGCCGTGTCCAGCCACTCGCTACCCCCCCTGCCACGCCACTGCTGATGGTGGCAGCAGCTTTTTCGCATTCAAGATCACAGCGGGGGCGGGGCCCCACATGGGCTGGTTTGCCCTACACCCTGCTCGGATCAACTCTGCCAACACAGCTACCAAATACATTCCTGAAACATGGAAGATGCCAAATTTTAACCAATTTTGGATTTAAACTTCGCTGCTGAACAAGAAAGATTTCTACACCTCCCTGCCTTTCTGCCATCTGACACCACCAGGGTAGGAATCCTGCCTTATCTGCACATCAAAGAGCAACTCACAAAGACACTCTCATGGACCGAGACGAACAGACCTTCAACTTCCTCTGTGCAAAAATGAAGTTTATTTTCTACCTATGGGGACTTTTTACCATCCTTAATTTTCCCTGAACCTGAGGAAGGGCAGGTGTATCCAAAAGCTTGCAGAAAAAGATTTTATTTTTCGATTTCTTAGTTGGTCTAAAAGGTACCATCTCTGAACCAAGAGTTCTAGAGTTTTGCATTTATAAACACTGGACACCTAATTCTCCACTACAAAGTAAAAGGGAGTAGAAAATTAGACCTATGTTCTTTGCATTTCCCATGATGTGGGAATGTTATCATCCAAGTTTGCCAGCGCTATAAACGGGGCTAGTTTTTTTCACTGTAAGACTCCCAAGACCTAAATCTACCCCATCACCTCCATTCCACAATCCTGACACACACAGAATGAAGAGAGTTGTCTGTGCCTGCAGGACCACGATAGTTCAGGCAGCCAGAAACAACAGAGGGCTGGTCCTAACTGCTCCAGGAGGCAAAGGGAAGACACTGCCATGGGAGAAATAAAAGCTCTGGCTCAGATTCTTGAAGGCATTTAGCTATCCCATCCAACTCCCTTGAAAACACTGGAAGACCTAAGGATCTAGGTCTCAGCACAGAATTATAAGCCACTTCAGCCAAAGAAAAATGCTATTATTTTAACAAATGGAAATTAAAAACTGGCAAAGTGCACCATTAAGGACATGTCAATCATTGCATTTGTACAAACAGGAGCAGTGTCACCATGTCCTCCGCTGTTGACTGTGATATGAATAAACCAATGAAAGTGCCTAGTGGATTTAAGTCAATAAATCTGCCCTGTGTTGCTTATCAGTTGCTGAGGTTGGTTTCCCTCACCTTCCTCCAAGATATCTCCTCCTATTAGAGCATTTAGTAAAGATCATAGAAGGAAATGAGAACCATCATTTATCACTGACAAGTTTGTACTCTCCCTCTTTGCAGTTGTACAAGTCAATGAGAAAACCTCTGCCCTTTTCCAGCATGTAGTAATGGCACTTTCAACAGGCCTGACCTCAACATCCTCTGAAGTCGGTGGGAAGATTGCAACTAATCTAATGGATGTTGGTGTGAGGCCCGCGAGAGCCTCACTCCACCTCAGGTTGGCGGAATAAAGCCAGCCCTAAAGAGAGCAGCAACAGAGACGAGCTTGGGCAGCAGCAACACAAAACTGCACAGACCATGCAATATTATACGGCTCCCTGTTTCCTGAGGCAACCTACAGCCCTGATCACCGGACTCCAGGCCCAAAGGTCTGCCACCGCAAGCCCCCCGTGGTCTCCCTGTGGGGTAGAGGTGCCTGCCCAGGCCCCTGCGGGGCACAAAGCTCCCATCACCCAGGGAACGTGGTGCCAAGGCAAAGCAGTGCCTGGCCAGCGCCTCCCACGCGGGGCCAGGGCCGGGCCCGGACTCTAGAAAAGCCGAGGGGCCACAGCTCCTCCTGCTAGATGACTCCTCCTTCCTCTGGCCCACAACAGGGGCTCTGCTCCGAGCGGGAGGTGGGCACAGCCAGGCCGGGAACCTGCCCAGACGTCTGCCCCGGGGATCCCCGCGCGGGCAAGACCAGTGCCCGCCACAGCCAGAGCCAGGGCCAGGGCAGGAAGCACACTGTCAGCGCCCGGCAGGAGGCACACCGCCAGTGCCTGGGCAGGCGGGCGAGCACTGCCAAGCGCCGCCAAGGACGTGCAGTTAAGCGCAGCACAGTGCAGTGTAGTGTGTGCAGTGCATGCAGTGTAGCGCCCCGCACGCCGCCTCCCGCCCGCTTTACCGAGACCGGGAGCACTGCACTCCAGACGCGCGAGCCGCTCCTGCCTCTGCCCCGCCCCACCCCCTTTCGATTTTCTTTCCGCCGACTAAAAACTGCCCCCCTCCTAATCCCGCGCAGCGCCTCCTGGGAAAAAACCTCTCCAGCCCCGCGCTCGCCCCCCGCAGGACTGGGCCGGGAGACATTGCACTTGCGCACAGCGCGTAGGGGGCGGAGCCAATCCTGGCGGCACGCCAGGGGCGGGGGCGCCACGGGGGGGCGGTGGGTGTGCGCGTCGCCACGGGGGGCGGTTGTGTCTCCGCTCCGCCGCCACCTGTGCCTCAGGGCGCGATGGCAGCGGGGGGCGGGGCTCCTCCACTCGGCCCGGCGCAAGCCAGCTCCAGCCACACCCTGCCTGCCAGGCCCTGCGACACTGCGCACGTGGACGCCCCATCCTTGTCTGCGGCCCAGGCAGAGCAGCCCGGCGAAGCCGAAGCAGGCCCTGCCTCGGTTCCAACCCGCGACACCACCGTCTCACGTAGAGGGTCGAGCACCACCAAAACTCGAGTCAAACGGTCTTAAACATGGCCCCTCTCTGCCACCCCGTGGCTTGGCAGGCAGCCCCGGGCAGCACCGGCTGCAGCAGAACCAGCTGTTGTAAGTGATTCATCGCCCCCCCCCGCGTCAACTCCTTCAAATGTCCTCGCTGCTGTTGTCCGCGCACTCCCGTGCGTACGGCCACAGTCAAACAGTACCAGTCACCCCCACCCTGGCTCAGTTTTTCCAAATCTTTTGCATTCAGAGATAGTAGCATCACCTCAACCATCAGCCTGCAAGAGGGTGGGTATTTAGGGCAGCCTGTCACTCCTGTCCTGGGACCAGCAAAAAAGCAGCCCATCAGACAGGCCTGCCATGCTCAATCTCTAGCCCATGGGCCAAATCTGGCCTGTAGGGCTGTGTCATCTCTCAGGTTCAGATGTTTGATGGTGAGAAAAGTAGTGACACCATTCATTGCATTGGCTCTGGAAGCTGTGGCAATAATGCTGCCTCTGCTCCCCCACTGCCAAATTTTTGGACCTGTGGGAAGCCCTCCAGGCCGGATGACATGGCCCCATGCATCACACTGTGCTGGTGCACAGGATCACAGTGGTGGTTGGATCCAACACATGGGGCTTAACTGGTGCACTGGAACCCACCCAATGCCATGCACCAACATGTTGGATCCAGCCCACAGGCCAGAAGATTGAACACTGCTGAGATTGACTATTATCAAAGGATCTTAAAAAGATCTCCTGTAGATGTCTCTCTCTTCTGTCATATGGTCTGCACTAAAGGTTTCCCTCACTTTATGCGGGTTCTGTGTGTGAATTTGCTCTTATGCGATGACCCTTTTTATACCAAAAATTAATTATATGTGGGGTAAATTCACTCTTATGAGATTGGTGTGGTAGAAGCCTGCAATCAGCTTTGTGCAGTGCATTGTGGGAGTGATGCACATCAAAATGTAGTCTGTGTGGATCTGTGCTCCTCACTCGTCTGCAACACGTGTTTCTGTAGTTGCCATCCCCATTATAGTAACATTCACCACCACCCTGTGCTTGTGTGTACTGTCTGCTGTTGGTGAGTACCAAAATTGTCTTGTAAAGTGGTAGAAATGTGTCTGGGGGTCAGTACAGTCAAGGTCTTAGAACGCATCCCTATTTGTTACATTGTAAAGTGGGCTCCCTTTATGCGAATTTGAGTTATGCACCATTTTACAGGAATACATGTACAGCATAAAGCAAGGGAAACCTGTATTGTAGGTAGCTGTGCCCATTTTAAGACTTCTCCTTTACCTACCCTATCACCCCATTTCATTTTGAATATTCTACAGGTGCCTGCACTGAAAGCTGTTGAGTTTAAAGTAGAAGAGCCTGTTACTTTTCTAAGAGTCGAGTCCCTACAGGAAAAGGTTTAGGATGTTAATTCTCAAGATCTTAATGTTCTTGCACATGAAGCTGACATCCTATACAAAGTTTTTAAAACACAGCAGACTTCAAATGTTTACTGTACTTTTGTGATATGAAAATAACAAACGGTGAATGTGTTCAGGTATGTAGAAAAAAACTCAATGTAATAAAATGTCTTAACTGATATTAGCATTTTGGAAGGAGAACTTGAGCATGATAAATCTAAATACTTACGAATTTGAGTGAATTTTTGTAACAACTAATTTCCCAATAGAGATAGCTATTCTCACAATCAAAAAAGTATTTTAGATCAGCACGTTTTGAAGTTTTCACCCTTAAAGTCTCTACTAGGGGAATGGCATGTAAAATATACTTT